ATAGCAAATGACTCAGTTGGCCTGAATTCTCAATAAACGTGCGTATAAGGTTGCTCAGTTAATACGTGTCCAGAAAATTTGATATCCTCACAAGATTCTCTGCCCTGTTTTGAAAAATAAAATTCAAATACACTATTTAAAATATAAAATGGTTTAAAACAGCCCTTATTTTGCAGAAATGAATTAATTACAACCTGTAATTTCAAGAGCAATCCCAATAATGAAAACTATTGCTTTCCTTCTATAGATGGGATTGCAGTCAACTTTGCATGATGGCTTCTTGGTCAACAACTGTATTCAAATGGCAGTGCTCTAATAGGAAATCGTTATATTCATAGGTTTAATTTATGTTGTGGGAGGCATTGGCTATGAAGAAATAGAACTGTGTTCTGTGGAAGTTTACGACCCCCTATCTAAGCGCTGGTCTCCCCTTCCTGAAATGGGCACCAGAAGGGCATATCTAGGAGTGGCTACTTTGAATGACTGCATCTATGCTGTTGGAGGATGGAATGAAACTCAAGGTGCTCTTTCAACTGTTGAGAAATACTCATTTGAAGAGGTAGGATTTAGTTTTCATATCAAACTATTTGTGCTGCCTTTTAGAATTGTTCCTTTTTTAAAAAATGCACTATCAGTATTGTATCTGTTTGTTCTTCAGAATGGCACAAGCAGTTTGGGCTTCTAACTCTGTGTTATATTGCTGAAGGAATGTCTTTCTTGGACAAATATAAAACTAAACTGAGCAAAGTTCAAAGATAACGTGGTGATCAAAGTCAGTTTGCCAGGCCAGGAGGAACTTCCAACCAGACAGAGCAGATTTTCAAGGCACATAGGCAAAATCTGAGAAATTTCCCTTCTTCTGCCTAAAGAATCAAAAAGAATTTTGCTCTTGAATCCATTTCATTACACAAATGCTAATATTTTCTGTTCTGCTCTGCATTTTTTCTGGGTTTGTGAGTTTGAATAAATAATATCTTTGTCTTTGATTGCTAATATATAGCAGTACTTTACTCTGCCAGTGCATGAAAGACTATTATAATTATTCTTATGTCTGTAGATTTGCTCCAGAAGAAAAATATAGTATACTACAAAGATAATTATTTTTGTTGTTTTATTATCAGGAAAAATGGACGGAAGTTGCTTCAATGAAAGTCCCAAGAGCTGGAGTATGTGTCATAGCTGTGAATGGCTTCCTTTATGCCACAGGAGGCAGGACTGCCAACTATGAGGCAGCTGCTCCTGTAACTTCAGATACTGTGGAAGTGTATAATCCACATATGGATACTTGGACTGAAACTGCTAACATGATCACCAGCCGCTGTGAAGGAGGTGTGGCAGTCCTTTGAAGAATGCCATGCTTTTAAAAAAAAACAGCAAAAATTGAAGTGTGAATTTAAATGCTGTAGAGAAATGGAAGATTTTAGCTCTTAAGAAAGTGTGTGCAGTTAGAAGGGGAATTGATTTTTAAAGCATATCCAGAAGTTTACAACAATTGTTACTGAAACCATTTAAATCTTTATGCTTGTCTGTGGAACAGTTTGTAAACAATTCTGACAATAAGAAACTTACAGATTTTTAACATTTGCCATTGACATTTGGAAAGTTTCTGTGGTAATGTTAGAAACCTTGTTTGAAGCAGAGAAAGTTAAAATTGACAAATCTATTTCAATATTTAATAGATATTATAATTTTTTGAAAATCCGTTATTTCTTTTAGACTTGTTAAAGGCCTGTCATTTTGGGGCAATATGGGATTGGCTAATTTGCCTCGGTGATCTAATTCACTTGTTAAATTAATTCTTCCCATAAGATTTCGCAGCTTACAGTAACATTTATTTGCATTTCTTAAGTTGCCGAACCACATGACTCTGGGTAATTCACCTTAGATTTATTTGTACATCAGATGACAGAAAGAGAGAGAGGAGAGAAGAAGGAAGGAAGGAAAAGAAGTGGCCATCCCAGCCAAGAATAGTGAAACCTCTCACTTGGGGAACTCATTTTCTGGTCTAGCACAATATGGGGAAAAAGAACAAGGTCTTCATTAAAAGAAGAGGTTTGAGACGGTTCCAAAGGACAAGGACCAAGAATCCAAGCATCCTGGGTTGTGTCAGATGTCTTCATTTAATGGTTGAGATTTGAAACATACCTATTGAAACTTGCTGAATGTGCAGAAATAATGGAAAAGAATCAGCCCCTCAAACAAGTAGGCCTTATGTCATTTGGTGTTTTGTAGATGGTAACCAAGATCTTGAATTGCACCCCAAAGCCTCCTGGTAACAAGTGCAGTTCACTAAAAAAAAAAGCATCTCATGTGTTATGGTATGCCCATAAGTACTTTTGCCTGCAAGTCCGGACCAGCTGGGCTTTCTAAGTGGTCTTCAAGGACAGCCCATATAAAGCACATTGCAATGGCCCATACATGGGAAGCCAAGATATGAGTGACTCAGAACAGCTTCCAGGTGCAGTAGGTGCTGAAAATGAATCTGTGAGGGTCTTTCTGGCTACAGCTGCTATTTAATTTTTGAGTAATTCTGTCTGGGGAAATGCAATCCCCATGGAAAGTCACTGGTTCCATAAGGTACATACATCCACAGCCATTTGGTCTTATTGGGATCTAACTGAGCTTAAGTCTTGCTTTCCATCCATATCCCCACAGACTCCAGAGACTGGGATAAGACCTGACATCCCTTGGTCAACTAGGTTAAGATACGTAACTATTATCATCAGTATACTGATTATTATCAGTATACTGATAATATTTGGCCCTGTGTCAACAGATGACCTTATACCTGGTGGCCTCATGTAGATGTTAAATGAGAGGGATGAGACCACTAAGTCCTCTACACTCTACAGATCAGGGATTTCGGATTTCATTTCTCCAAGCCCACCAACTGAAATTAGCTATGCAGGAAGGTGGAGAGCCATCACAAAATCATGCTCCCAATCCTCAGTTGTTCCAAATGGATGCCGTAATTGATATTATTGAAAACTATAGATCAAGGAAAGTCAGGATGGCTGCACCATTCCTGTCCCAACTCTGCTGGTGTAATGGCTTATGGGAATGACCTTGAGAGATTGGGCCCAGAGATGTTACCTAAGAAACAGATTAGAGCAGGCATAGTCTGCAGCTGGATAGTGAGGAGGGGCAAGAGGCTCAGAAGAGACCCATATTTCTCAGCGTATGATTATCTGGCAGCAACGTGGTTGCAAGACAAGCAATAAGTGGACGAACAAATGACCTAAAAAAACTAATAAAACTAATGCAATAGCTAGGGCAGTGTTTGTCCCAACTTGTGGCAGCACAACAGATGGCAGCTCGGTCAAAATTCAGAAGGGGACAGGATCAATTAACAACTGTTTCAGCCGTATTTAAAATGCTATATATATTTCATATCAGCAAGACAATTGGACTGGTCTCATATAGTACCTCTTGCTGAATTTGCTTAAAACGTAACACACTCCTTTTATTCCAGAGGTGTTTTTTCAAGAGGCAACTGGATTTTTTGTTTCTCATCCAAGAAGTTTCTTCAGAGAAGAAACGTCTTCAAAGAAAAATCAGAAAGTCCAGCTGCCTCTTGAAAAAGCACCTTTGGGACAACCATGACCTGGATGACTGAGCATCTCCATCGACACACCCCTTTATCGCTATGTCCCTTTCCCAAGCAATTTGGGGATTCCATCCATAGGTCTTGCCAACAACCAGGCAAGAAAGTGCTATTCCTCATGCAGCAGATTTCTTACAGTCAAGTAGCCCAAAGTCTCTTAAAGAAACAATTAGATGTAGCAAAGATTGTGTACAAAAAAATAGAGCTAAAATTGCAAAAGGTTTTGGTGTGGCTCCACAAGACCTTCCTAGCAACTAAACTCGAAATTGGTCTTTCCCCAGTAACTAAGCAAATCAACCTAGAGGGTTTCCATTTACAATTGCCATCATCAATGATAGTTGACCGTGTATATTGGCCTTTGCTAGTAAAAGAGGCACTCCCCTGTACTCTACATTCATAGACAGCACCATCCATACACCCACTGTAAATAGGAAGAACATGAGGTGGAAATTGCTAGACTCTGGACACAAAGGAAGCAAGTTGAATACTTGATATACCAGAAAACTTACCCAGAGTTGGATAGGTCATGGGAGGCAGCAATGGATGTGCACTGCTTTCATGACCAAAACCCAAACAAAGACTATGCTTAACAGTTACAAATGTTGCAGGAGTTAGGTGTTGACCAAAATGAACAGGAAGAATTCTGGAGAATGGAGGGTGCCTCAGGAATAGCAAGAAACCAAGTAAAGGGCATGGAAAATGAGCAGTTTCTTCCACATTAGGCATACAGAACGTAGTGGGGACGGGAGAGCAACAGATTCTCAAGGAACAGCTCTCACCTTTTAAGACACAGCTAATTTATTAGTTGCCTTCTGTGATCTGGGAAAGTTACTAGCAGAAGAGCTCAAGTGATACAGCTACATTTGATTCTCACAGCTGACAAATAACTTTCCTGTGAATTTGGGAGGGGAAAAGGTGATGTAGTGTGGTATGTGGGAATGACCTTGGGAGATTGGTCATAATCCACAATTATAATTTGTGTGGCAAGAGAATGACTCTCACCAATTTTGGGGGGTATAAACAGGAGAATTGTACTTTCAGACTTCCAAGGTTCTATTAATTGTAACCTTATAATAAAGGAGAATTAGCTAACTGGTTTTATTTCCTATCTGGCCTACTTGGCAAGGCTCATAGGTAGAGATCATCAAGAGATGGGTCTCCAAACCTGACACATTTGGGGTCTATACATTCTGATCTCAACACACCCCTCCTTTAGCTTATCAAAAACTATTACTGCGAGAACATCTTCCCACATTTCACCTGGCACCCCCTCTAATCCTGGCCTACTCCCACAATTTATACAATAAAGGGGGCGGGAATGTTTTAACCTCCTGGCTTAGTAGCATTACGGTGTGTCCTTTGGGAGGTAAATCAACCTCCTAGGAGATAAGCAAAATCAAACTTTATTTTGAGAAATACAACTCAAAAGATACAGGAAGTTCTATTTTTAAGAAAACATGTTAACATTCTCAGCAGACCACAAGATGGTGCTGGCCAGCTATAACAAGTTATCTCAAAAGAAAGATATCTGAAAAATAGATAATTTCTAGCCAAAAATTACACAAAATGCTTTATAGAAATAGGAATATAATTTCAAATAGGAATATAATTTCAAATAGAAATTAAAATAATGCAATGTCTAACTAGAGTAGTTATCTATTCCTTAGAATAGAATCCAGAAGCAAAGTCCTCTGCCTTTATGATCTTGGCACTCCTTCAGCTTGTGTTAATTCTGCCATGTATCAGAGTTGTTGGGAAGATGCTACAGTCCACCTGTTTTTCTGTCTCAGGTGCCAAAATTCTTTGCTCTGTATCTTTCCCTTTGTCTTCTGAATGTGCAATACCTTTTCTGTATTTAAGAGCCAGGAGCGGAGGGAATCTCCCAAACATGCATTCCAAAGCCTCTACCTGAGAGGTTTTAACTGAAACACTGTCTGCCATTCAGACCAGCAGAGAATCCATACTGTTCACAAAATATACATCAATATTTATGCCGACTGATGGAAAACAAGGTTGACACTGGCCCTAACACTGCAGCGAATGTGGATATATGCAGGAGATAATAGTGGGTTGTAACCAATTTTAGTAACATATTCTTCCTCTCCTTCCACCCATCATGAACTTTGCTCTACAATTTAGAATAAATTATTGGAAAGGCTTTATATTTAACTCTTGCCTCTATTTGGCCTGATTCTTAATAGAACTTGAGACTTCAGAAGTCTGCTCAAAACAGATTTTTTTTCTTAACAAAATGATACTTTTTTCAAAAACTTGTTACTTGATTATAAGAAAGTAGAATTTAATTTCATGATACACTTATCCATCTTAAATAACATTTGCCCTATTACAAGTCCAGTACAATGGAAATTCTAGTTATTTTCCAGCCAAATATAACAAATGTGTCCACTATACCTTATGCCATTATGGAAACTCAGCACTAGACAACTAAAGAAGTAAAAAAAAAATGTAGTGAAAATTTTGAAAGGGAAAGAATACTTTATTACAGTGACAGACTAGCATAAGAGTTAAATTGATGTTTCTCTTAAACCTCAAGTGTAATCTTAAATCTTTCTCACAATATTTTTTATAATAAAAGGAATTGTTTATACTGGTTTTTTTTTTGTTAATTCAGCAAATAGCAATCCAACATTTAGCACAAGAAGTTGGTAGCAGTAGATCTATAGTAGAGATAATATTTAGAACATATTACCCAAATATCTTTGGCCCAGAATTATTCTTTCAAATCATTGAAACAATTGTTTGTTATCCAAATTCCTCAAAACTATCTTACTGCTTTCATTACTATTTGTTAGTAATAAAACTTTAACACCAATCCCAGTAGAAGTATTCATTGCATGCATGTACACACATATGTTCAGACAGAATGGGAAAACCATTAAAACCACTGCGCTGAGACTTCAAGAGGATGTGCTGCCAGGTTTAAAGTGAAGCATTGGTCTACATGCTTCACATAACCATGATGCTGACCTACCCAGAATTAATTTCCAAGAATAATGCTGTGAATTGGTTAATATTTGTACCAAATTTGATGAAAAAAATTAAGAGAAACTAAATTCCACTAAAGCCACACAATTAAAACCAGGTAATCTAAAAATCATCTATCAGTGTTCAGCACCTACCCTCCTTTCTAATTTGCTTCTCTATGGCTAATGTTGTAAATTTAATGAATTAGATAATTCATTTATTGTTTTCTGTTCCAATCATTTTCCAAGTTCATTTCATGCATTGTGAATATTATTTCCATTCTGTATTGTTTCTCCCATAAGGCTTGTCATTCTGTGTGTGTTTACTTAGAATCTTCTGTTTCCCCTAATTTAAAACTTAGATATCGTTCAGGAAAGAAATTCACATAAATTAATGTGACACAGGTAGCAAACGCAGCCACTATAGTTAAAATTACTAACAAGGCTTTAAACCAGTTGGGATAGGTGGGAAGAAGGACCAAGTCATTATTCAGGGCTATCATTAAACCTATGATAACCATGATTCCAGCTGAAGTGAGATCTTTACAAAGCAAGGTAATCCAGGCTATTAAGGAAGGAACTATACTGTTACCCAAATTAAGCCAGTCAGGTTTTGCAGGACTTCCTTCTAGAAGAGTAAATCCCCACCTGATCCCTCCTAGGAAAGACAATATACAGGCAGCATATGCAATTTCAGCAAATGCCAACTCAGGGTAAGAGGCTTTTTGGATAGCCATTACTAATGGCACTGAAACAAATGGAAATAATACTGAAGCAGCTACATAAATGGCAGGCTTTGGAGAGTCCTTGAGTGATGCCAAGTCAAATAGTGGAGCATCCTGCTTATCAGATGTAGATTCTGAAGGCCTTTTTTTCTCCCAGCTGCAAGCAGATGAATGAAATCCCAGGATTTTAGTTGTACACAAAGATGCCCTTTTAGATAACTGTAATTTTGACAGGAAACTCCGACGGTATTCAAGAGGAAAGCTACAAGAGCTATTCCTAGGCTGCAGAAACCTTTGAAGATGAATTATCTGCAATTGCAAATATAAACATGCATGTCACTGAAATGTATGAGTTTAAACCTGCAACTGCTACACATGCCTCAAACTTATTTTTTTACCTAATTACAAAATCATATAAAAACTTTAGTCTTTGTCTTTGGGATACTATATAACCGACTCTTATTTGGGATCTGCAAGAGATTTCCATTCAAGACATGAAGCATCAGGAATTCACATGCAATTTACTAATGCTTAAAATGACGAATAGAAAAAAAATTAGGGCTGATAAAAGATTCAAATGTTTTCATTCACAGGAAGTATTTGGATTCTGTTCAAATAAAAGAGCCTTTTTCAAATTGAAAATATTTTCCACATTTCTAGGTATCTTTCCAGAAAACATATAAGGTCTATGACTTCACTGTACTTGAAATGCATGAGGTGAATATTGTTAGAATATTTCCTGGTACCTACATTTATAGTGGAAAAATATTTTTCTTTCTATTCATAAATTACACATAACACCATACCATATATTTTAGTATTATTAATAAATGTAGAACATGTTAATGGTAAGCCTCCATTCTGATAAAAATAGAACTTTTAAGAAACTCTCATTTAAAACATAATCTTTTTTAACATGTAAAAGAATGATAGTAACTGCACACATTAAATATTTGGGGAGATTTTTGTATTTCATAAAAGCTACAAAACTATTATTGACATCTCTCTTGGAAGACAAAGGATTATTAGGATTATCTTCTTTTATCCTAGTGTGTAATAGAAGTTGCTCTCTTAAAAAAAATCCAATTCAACTATCTGGGAGAATTTTACCTTGGAAGGAATTTGGAAACCACACTGTTGTATAAAACGGAACATTTTCACAGACCTTAAAAAACAAAGACAAGGTTAGATGGTTAACATTAGAGTATTATGCATGAATATTGGGTGATATTTTCCACTTTACTAAAATATGCTACACTGAAATTATCTTGATGAAAGATAATTTAGGAGAGATATATCTAAAATATAATAGTCATAACTGAAGTCAACTCCAGGCAGCTGAACAGCTAAAGCTGTTGAAAGACATAACAATGATGTCATGATATAAACAGCTTTAAGTATCAGTCTTATCAGCGGTGGGATTCAAAAAATTTTACTACCGGTTCTGTGGGTGTGGCTTGGTGGGCATGGCAGGCGAAGGATACTGTAAAATCTCTAGTCAGAGGTGGTATTTGCCAGTTCTCCAAACTACTCAAAATTTCTGCTACTGGTTCTCCAAAACTAGTCAGAACTGCTGAATACCACCTCTGAGCTAGATATCAATCCGGCATTGTACAGCATATAAACAATAACTATATTATACTGTGTTATATACTATGTATCCCTAGTATTCCTTTGCTTATGACAGGTTTTAGTGTATATTCTGCTTTTGGGGATTTTCCAAAAAAGTCTGTAGGAAAATTTCCCACCACATTTTCCTATCAATCGATCATTCTTTACAGTCTCCAGCTCTGTTCTTTTTTTTTTTTTTGGGGGGGGGGGGGGGGGGAACAGACTTTTGGCTTCATGCAAGGAAAGCAGCAGAAGTCTTTCTTTCTCTCCCCCAAACTCTGCCAGAATGGCATAGCCTCTTGGAGCAGGATGCTTTGCAGGGTCCCAAAGACTCATTTCTGGCAGAGTATGGGGGAGAGAAAGACAACTGCTGCTTTTTTTGTGTACAGCCAAAAGCAGAAGCAGCAGAGACCCTACGAAAATCCCCCAAAAAGTCTGCAGGAAAATCCCCCCCACCCCGTTTTCCTACCGATCGCAGGATACCATCTCTCTCCCGCTCCCCCTGAGAATGGAGCTGAAAAGCAGGTTAGAAATGTGGCTACCTTGGAGGGTGTGTGTTTGTGTGTGTGAAGGACCTCTGTGTGTCTGTGCTTTTGTGTGTGTGTGTGTGTGTGTGTGTGTGTGTGTGTGAGAGAGAGAGAGAGAGAGAGAGAGAGAGAGAGAGAGAGAGAGAGAG